ATTTGTGGAAATTGCCAGATTTGTATACCTCTACGAGTATCAACAAAAGTTCTTTATGGGAGGTAGTATGTTATATATAGCTATGAAATTTCAGGAACAAACTCAAATGAACCAGATAATATGAAATTTATAAGCCGCAAAATGAATAGTGGCAAAATCACTCGTGGTACATGATTCATATGATGTATATGTGATAGATCAATACGAAGGTAGCATCGTGTAAGCAGCACGCAACGAAGATTCTCTCGTGCCTACACCTGTCGGCAACGCGTAGCAAGTTAACCTATCATGTCGTGTCCGGATCATGGTAACAGTCGAGAGGGAACATTCGGTACTGCAGAATGGAGCACTGCTCTGCCTTTACCGTGTGATAATTTGATATGGAATCCGAGTACCTGGAGCTCTCCAGGCCATGAAACATGTGCATCACTCAGTGGGTTCCCTTGGCTTGCAAGAGTGTGTGGTTTCTGGCGATGGAAGAATAGATAAGAAGACGGAAAGATAAATATTCCCTGCGTGTCCACAACTTGTTGCCCACAGAGTGCATGCTCAAATGCATAAAGGCGTATATTCTTTGCCCTCTATAATTAAAGGCTTTTAGAATATTTTGGATGTTCATGGTCAAAGAATTAGGCCTCCTGCTTTCCCAGGGAATCGTGAAGGACGACTAAATATGATTCTTTCAAAAGAATCAATAATGGAAGGTGCCTCTAAATACTGACGAAGATATCAGGGAAATTCAGGTCTTGACGCTTAAATAGCAGAGGAAGTTTTTCTTGACAAGAATCATAATGAGAGTTTGGCAAGGCGATACCAAAGTTAGACTGGCAGGAGAATAAGATACCATCAACTTTACTCTTCAGTCCCGAATATTATATATTTGCAGTAGATTACATATACCTCAGTTGCCATCTAACATCAGATTTCAAAGCGGATCAATCTTGCTGGCAGACTGTATCCCAGTACTCCATCCGTTCACAAATATAAGATGTTTTGGGCATTTCAATATGGACTACATACAGACTAAAATGAGTGAACAAACACACTACAACTTTTTTTTTGCGGGAAAACAAACACATTAAAACGTGTCTATATATATACATCGGACTCACAAAAAAGTTAAAACATCTTATATTTGTGAACAGAGGGAGTACCAATTATGGGGACAACGATAGTGGTGCACTGCCATTGCATCTTCGGACAAACTGTGGACAGTGAATCCTCTGAAGAAGGCTCTACTCAAATCCAAACATTAAAGAAGGTTCGTTGCTTCCTCGAGATGATTTGAGCCGTCCCTTTCTACGGCTTCATATATACTAGATGCTCTATGCAGAGAAGAACGACACGGTACTAAAGCAATAATCATGCTTGGGGAGTTCGATTAGTACCGGAAGTTGTGTGGTCTGACCGCTCGGTGTAGCTAAGCTACGAACCTCGAACCTGGAATGACGCGGGGGGTGGATGGGGAGGGGAGGAGGGTAGGGCTCGGAGGTACGCACTCTCTTGGTCGGCGAGCCAGCGCAGTGCAGCTTCTCCTGCAACGGCGCCTCAGGGCCCGGGCGGCTGCGGCGGCGGCGGTTTTCCTCCTCGGCAGCGTCAGAAGATCTCCTGGTAGGTTTCGCGAAGTTTTTTTTTTTTTTTGAGAAAATGTGTCGGGTGATCCCGGGGAGGGGAAGGGGACTGGGCTGATCGGGCACAGTGTTTTTAGCGGTCATTGGGCCTAGTTTGTGCCATGTTTTTCCTGAGTGGCACCCTAGAGCGGGCCCATGTACGGGTCTGCGCCGTTTTAGAAACATATTTTAATTTCACAATTTTTGTAAAAAAAATGATGTTAATCTATTTAAAAAGAACCCCAATATACATATGATTTCTGATCTCTAGCGTTAAAGATCTGATGCCCTCAGGTACGTCGGATCCCGTCCACACGCATGTCAATTAATCGTTGCAGCCTGCAGCATGGCAATTTTTCTATTAAACTTTTTACACTATATGGAAAAAAGTGGAAAACGGAAAATCTTACAAAACAGCATGAAATTTATCTGTTGCATGGAAAATCTGAAGGTTGGCTGGCAATGCTAAAAATCTGATGTCATATTTTCAGCATTTGCATTTAAATATGCCAAACAACCCATTGCCAAAAACAAAGAAAACCATGCTCATGCATACATTTTTATCACATATTTTCGAAATTAATGTACACAAAAATACATATGTCCAACAGAAAAAGGTTTATGGATTAAAAAAGAGTATCCAGGCACGTGTGCATGAAATTTCATATAGTATGGGAAATGTTTAAAGTATAAAATGACAAGACAAAAAACGTAAATTTGACAGAAAGTAAAAAAGAAATCTTTTTTGCAAAAAAAGGAATAAAATTAAAAGATTGAAAAAACAAAAATGTTGAAAGTAAAAATTGAATATAAAGTTAAAGGAACAAAAGAAACAAAAATGGGCCATGCCAACGGATCATGTGTGTGGTTCATCGACCATACCTCGAAACCTTATGTGGTGATTATTATTTGAACCTCATTGTGTCAAATTTCTGGGATAACTCGAGGGGGGGTGGGGGGGTCTGATGGGCCTCGCTTGTTCCGAACCAATCAATTTACTTTTTAGTTTCCTTTTCTCTTTTTTCTATTTTACTTTATTTATTTTAATTTTTTGTTTCCACTTTTAAATTGCACTACCTTTGTACCAAAATATAAGAAAGTTTTGTAGGTTAAACTAGCTTACAAAAAGGTCTTATATTTTGGTACAGAGGGAGTATAATTAAAATTTATTTATAAAGATATTTGGAAATAATTAAAATGGCAGGATATTTTTTAAATATGTGAACATTTTTTTATCACGTGAACATTTTAAATAAGTGCATGAATATTTTTATAAATGCTTGAACAATTTACAAAATTGCATGCTCATCTTTTTAAAAGTGTTCATGCCTTTTCTTAAATGTTCATATAATTTTTAAAAATAATCGAACATTTTATAAACTGTAAATATATTTCAAAAAGTGTTCGCCTATTTTTTGAAAAAAGATCCATCTGATTTTAAATTTTATAAAATGTCTGCATGTTCTCTAAAAATATTGGTATATTTGTAAAAAATATTTGTAACTTTGTGAAGAAAAGGAATAAAATACTTTCAAACATGAGATAAATGGCTTGAAGAAACCCAGAATGAAACCGCCGGACAAAATTGTCGTGTGTTGTGCCCATTACTAGACTGGCCCTCGGTTAGAGAGCTAGTAGATAAAGCACCCGCAACATTGGCAATAGCGATTAATAGCTCTTTTGCGGGTCTGACATACCATGTAATGTGTGTGATGTATTTTTAGTAGAAGTACCACAACGTATTTCAAAGGGCATGACTACGTATGTATCATATTTACCCTATCTATCATGGTCTATCGAGTGCAATATATGATATGTGAAAGTGAATTCCTTCCCCAGCGTTGAGTTGTGGTCTTCGAGCGTTGGGAATGCCGGGCTGTTAAGGGGGGCACCACCAGAGGGCATCACATTTTTTTGTGTGGGGAGGGTACTGCAATGCAGAGGGGCCCTATCAACGTCATTATTTTCCCTTTTCATCTCAATTTTACTTTCTTTTCTTTTGTGGATTTTGAAATTTTAAATTATTTAAAGTTAGAAGTTCAAAATTCTAAAAATTTGAATTTTAGAAAAGATGATAACTTGGAAGAATAAAATTCTATAAGTTTGATTTTTAGAAAATTAAAACTTGAAAGAACAAAATTCTAAAAGTTTCAAATTAAGAAAGCTAAACTATGTTTTTTTTTTAAAAGCACATACTACAAACTTCAAATGTTCTAAAAAGAAAGTTTTCCTAACATGTTAGAAAATGAGGGCCAGCTGAGTGGCCTGCGCGCCTGCACATTAGGACACCTCGAATAGTGGAGGAAGGTTGTATTTCCCAAAAGTTGTGGGTTTAACAGACCCCAAGCTTGTACGTAGAATGACCACTGTGTTAAAGACTTAAAGTAGTTAATGATAAGTTGTTGGTGGTCATTCTTTTTACCAATAAGCTAAAACATACGAGCTAGATGCTCTTATAACCTGAGAAAGAAAAGAGAGTTTTATTTGCCATTTTATAGTTGACTAGGCAACCTCCCCGATGCATCTATACATGTCACATTGGGTGGGAGTAATAATTTAGCCGGTCACATTGGATGGGAGTAATAATTTAGCCGGAAACTAGTTGAAAATATTAGAAATATTATCTATATAAGAGATGGACTTTTCGGAAAGGCAATATAAAAAGGCCCCTACCCGCTAGCCTTAGATATACGAATTGTGAGCGGCACCACGAATAAGCACAAAAGAATAGAGGGTAGACCAT